CCTTGTTTTGGTGGGCCGGGCTGGATTCAAACTTGCCACCTTAGGTGTATGTGGCTGGCACCTTAGCCACTTGAGCCACAGGCGCTGAGCCAGTTTTCTGGGTTTTTTGAGACAGAGTCTCATGCGTTACCCTGGGTAGGTACTGTGGCTTCACAGCTCAAGCAACCTCAGACTCTTGCCTTAGCCTCCCGAGTAGCTTGGACTTTAGGCACCTGCCACCAGGCACAGCTAGTTTTTTTATTTTTAGTAGAGACGGGGTCTTGCAGTTCCTCAGGATGGTTTCAAACTCCTGCACTCACAGGATCCTTCTGCCTCCCAAAGTGCTAGCTTATGGTCGTGAGCCCCATACCCAGCCCTTGTGACATTTTGATACAGGCATGCAATGAGGATTCATTGGGTCAGGTAAATGAGTGTCCCTCTCCCTCTGTGGGTGTGTTTCTGTCCACATACAGTGTGCTTTGCCATCACCAGCGTAAGCAGCTCCTTCTTTGGCCCCCACTTTCTCCTGCAGCCACCCCTATCTCAGTGCCCCTCCTATAGAAGCACTCTGCTCCCTGCCTTTGGCTCCCAGGCCTTGAGCTGCCATCACTTCCATGCCCACCATCCATTCCTGTTGAGGTCACTGAAGAGCTCCATTTTGTCAAACCAGGGTCCTTTTTATGAGTCTTGGTTTATTTGATCTCTCAACTCTGCTGACCACTCATTCCTCTTGGAACCCTTCTTCCTGCAGTTTTTCCTTGTGTTTTCATGCCTTATCTGTTCCTTCTCAGATTCCTTCCAAAGTTTGGCACAGTCCTGGCCCTGCCTGTATCTGTCCTTCCTTCCCTGCGTGGTCACTGTGGCCTGTGCCTCTGGTGACTACCCCTGTGCTTGCGCCTAGGCAGCAAACCCGGTACCTGGCTCAACCTGTGGGATCTCACAAGCACATAACATGCCCAAGTCAGGACCTGCTTCTACAGTCTCACCCTTGTCAGTAAGCGGCACCCTGTCTGCTGTGGGTTATTGGTTTCATTCGTGTTCTTCCTCCCATTCAGTCCATCTGCAAGGCCTTTGGGTTCTATCCTGAAGGTAGATCACACATGCGTCCACTTCTTCCCCTCCCCTGATCCTGCTGCAGCCACCTACATGTCTTCTCACTGAGCTACTGCAGTCCGCTCTGACATGGGCTCCCACCCATCCCAACCCCTTGCAAGTCTCTTTCCACAGCAGCCCGTGACTCTTCAAAAACATGAGCCCTTGGGGGCAAGACACGATTGTAAGAGGGACTTTACCTGACAAATTCAATCAATGTAACCTGGTTTCTTGTACCCTCAATGAATCCCTAGCAATTAAAAAAAAAAAA